TCCATTGAACCACTTGAATAAGTAACCGTCTCTGAACATTCAGTCCCTACAGCCGCACGAAACTGAACACCTCACACGCCAGGACACCATCAGGAAATCCAACACCCACCAAGTGAGGAGTTATAATTAAAAAGAACAAAAAGACAGCTGCTTTCAGCAGGGGTTTTAATCATGGATCTAGCACCCTGGGAGATTATTAGACTACAGGAGATTTAGGGGAGATTAGCCTTTTCATTACTGTTGGGGGGTTAGTTCCCAAGCAATGGCAAACACATTTTTAGTGTGTGTATACACACACACACACACCACACACCACACACACACACACACACACACACACACACCATCCACCCACCTCCTTGTGCTTCTGTTGCTTGATTGTCTGGAATTTCAGTAGTGCTCATATTAAGCAACAGAAAAATGGAACTACTCCATTCTATTCTGGATTGGAAAAAATAATTGAAAATGGATCGGATATGACTGGACTGAGTGATTAAAATATATTTTTCCCCCCTTCAGCTTCAGGACCTTGAAGCCCTTCACAATCATGAACTTCTCTCCACAATCTTGCTGATAGGGTCGATCAATATTATTGCAGGGGGGAAGTTGAGGAACAGGGGAGGATAAAATTAGCTTGCACTTTTTTTAAACTCTTATATTTCAGAGCAGTAAAAGTAGTTGGATCTTTTATACTGGGAAAGAAAAGTTCGGGTTTTTTTGCCTGGATAAAGGCTCTAAATCCACATAGAGGCACCTATGGTGAAGTGTCCTGATTTTGCAGGACTGAGCCCCCCCCCCAAATCCTAGTCAAAGCAAATAGAAGCTGTACTAGTGCAGCTTTGGGGAAAAAAGTTACCTCTTCTCCCCCTCCCATATTTTCCATAGCCTCTGAGCCTGCCATCCTCATAAACGAGTCAGAGCCTGTTTAGGCAGGAAGTGGAGAATTAGCAGGTGCTAAGAGTGTTTAGCCACAGTGGAAGGGAATCTACCTCATGCCTCCTATAAGAGAGAGAGCCACAGCCTGGAAAGACAAGGCGGGCAATATTGTATTGGTGCAATCTGGGAAGAAAACAGGGATGGGTGTAGGAATCTTCCTACATCTGAATGCAAATGCAATCACAGCTGCACTTCCTGCCCTTTGGTTTCATGTTACACTAAATGCCAAGCCAGCGATGGCCATGAAAAATGGGCCCAGTAGCATCCTTTGTCTAAATGTCAAGTTGCAAAGTTGAGGGTGATAACTAAATCATGCGTGATACGTACCTTAACCACTGACATTACAGTAAACAGCATGGAAAGCAAGCAGGGTCTTTATCCACCTACAACAGGTGGGGAACCATTTTTGGGTCAGGGACCACTGACCTACAGAAAAATCAGCGAGGGGCCACTTACAAGTGCAAAGCAAAAAAACCCTCCAAAAACAAAGAAAAAAACCTTCACTGATGTTGCTGCCAACTACGGTGAAAAACACTTCCCACATTCCCCTTGCACACCAGAACCTAGAGGGCCCAGGCTAGTAGATTGTGTGCTCCAGCCCCACGGGGGGGGGGGAGGGCTGGGGCACTAGCATGGGCTCCCTAATGCTGGGGGTGAGCCCCAAACTTTACAGACAAGCCAGGGGCCGCATCTGGCCTCCAGGATCCCCACCCCTGCCGTACAGCCCTGTCAGCCTGAGAGCACGCGCTAAGAAAAAGCCATAGGGACCTCCTTGAAACATCTGCTCCAGCCTACACCTCCTATGCACTTTTGTCACGTCAATATTGTCCCATGCTTGCTACCACAGAAACCAAAAAACCCCAAACCCTCAAAGCTGCCCCTTCCCAGAGGGTGCTTGAGAGCACACCTCCCCTAGGCTGCCAAAAGAACAATGAAAATGTGCCCATCCCAAATCTTCCTCTCAATCATACCTACAGCAAGTACTTTCTATCTCATCACAAGGTGTGCCAGAAGAAGTTAAAAAGGAGTGGCAACCTATCTCTTACGAGTCTCTGCTTACAGTCACCATCATACACTACACCCCAGGCTGCCTGAGACTGGGATGGTGGGGAAGGTGCATTTAGAAATTAAACCCTCTCCGTTTTAGTTTCCCTGACACCAAATTTCTCCTGCCACAGGGCACTTCCACTAAGCAAATCAAAACTGCAACAAAAAGGAGCAGTGGGAATTGGGGAAAGGGGTAAGTCACTCTTCTCTGAATCTCTCCTCCCAAAAGGGAGCTATCCCACAAACCCACACACACAGAAAAGAGGAGCGTATGTCCGCCTCTGAACTTGAAAGAGGCATAAGAGCCACCCACTGGAAACTGAAGCTGGAGAAATTGAAGGCTAGACATAAGGAGCAAATGTTTAACTGTGACAGTAATTAACCACTGAAACAAAAATTTCCTAGGAATATGGCTGAGTCTCCATCACTTAAAGTCTTAAAATCAAGACTAGATACATTTCCAAAAGACTGGCTGAGCAAGAGCATGACACCATAGGTTTGATGCGGGAAATAATTGGTGACGTTCTACACTGTATTATGCAAGAAGTCAGGTTAGTTGATCATATTGGACCCTTCTATATTTACTCTAGGGATTTGATAAGACTGTTAGCACTTTAGGCCAGGTGTGGGGAACCTAAGGCCTGGGGACCAGATGCAGCCCCCGGCTTGCCTGGATCCAGCACCTCAGGTTCAGGGCTCCTCCAGCATTAGGGGGCCCACACCAGTGCTCCAGCACCCACCCCCTGCACTGTCCCTTCACAGGGCTGGAGCACACAAGATCTACTAGCCTGGGCTCCCCGCACCAGGCTCTGTTGAGCTGCCTCAAAGATTTTTTTCCCCTCATTTGTATGTGTCCCCCTGACACAAAAAAGGTTCCCCACCCCTGCTTTAGGCCTATGTCTTTATGTGTGTTGAGACAGAGCTTTAAGATGGTTGGGTCCTTGCTGTCTGAGGGTGCGTCTACACAAAGTTATTTCGGAATAACAGCTGTTATTCCAAAATAACTAGGTGAGCGTCTACACAGCAATTCCCTTATTTCGAAATAATTTCAAAATAATGGACGGCTTATTCCAGCTTCTGTAAACCTCATTCTACAAAGAATAAACACCTATTCCAAAATAGCTATTTTGAAATAAGGTGTGTGTAGTTGCTCCACTTCTGCTATTTTGAAATAGAATGGCCCTGATGAGGGGCTAAGTTATTCCTCCTGGAGCCCTAAATCGAGATAGCACGTCTACATTAGGAAAGCCTGCCTCAGTAATGTTGAGGCTTCCCTGCAGCGTAGACATGCTATTTCAGAATAGCTATTCTGGAATAGCTTATTCTGAAATAACTGTGCAGTGTAGACATAGCCTTATTGTCCCACAAAAAAAATCATTTTTCCAGAAGCTATTGTTGGAAATGTTTGATTTTCTTTTGGAAAAAGTTATTCCTAGATCTGCAGCTCCTCTGCTCCTTCACTGCCTGCCTCGATGAAAGCAGGCTCCTCAGCTCCAGTGCAGTCTGACCATCCCAAAGCTCCAGCTGCCATGGCTTTCTGCTCCTTAGTAGGCTTGAGAGCTGCAGTTCACAGGGACACTTTCCAGGTTTCTGGGAGTAACATCTTTTCTTTTGCTACCATCAGGAAACGAATGTATGGTCGGATAGTGAGTTTTCTGATCTACTGAAACCCAGGCTCGGCTTCAAGGTTTTGTGGAATACTTGCATATGTGTAGAACAGTGTTTCTCAACTTTTTTTTTTAATAAAGTACCCCTTTTTCCAACAAAAAAAGTACCCCTAGTACCCGCAGTTTTCAGATTTTTTTCTTCTACTATTGCAACACATTTGTTTAAACTTAAATAGTAGCTGGATGGGCGATGACATTTTTGGGTGTAAAAAAAGTACAAAAATAATAAAGCGCTGTAAAACTTGAAACAAACATTGTTTTCTCCAAATTTCAGTTGTGCTGACATACCCCCCCAGACTTCTCTTGAGTACCCCTAAGGGTACTCATACCACTGGTTGAGAAACACTGGTATAGAGGGTAACAAAAGAGATGAGCCAGTTTGGCTTCTATAACTACATTAATGCTTTATATATCTCATTGAAATACTATTCAGGTACAGTAGTCAGCATATATTAGTGAACATAAACAGTACACTTTATTGCACATAATCCACCCCCTGGGAAGAGGAGAGAACACACACCAGTTGTTAGCCATGTTGCTTAAGGCACTAACACTACAGTATGCAATATAAGAATCTACATGGATCAGAGCCTACCTAGCACCTTATGGGTACAACCATACACGTAAAGGTTCCTTTTAGTCTAAATTTCCTTAGGAGCGCAACTACAAGCAGCATCAACAATGAGAGCATACCAGTGTTTTAAAAAACACCTGATTTTTTTTTTCCTCCCCCCCAGATCAAGGAACCTGATCAGGATCAGAGGAAGACAGTGTCAGGCAGTGTTCCTTGCTCCAAATCCTATATTCACACTATATCTCCTCCCCTATTTTAACTATTTACGTCTATTTTACACACACACACACACACACACACACACACACACAGAGCCAAAGAAGCCCTTTTGCACTATTCTATGTCCATGAAATACCTAATTTCACTTGCAGTTTCACTGAAAACTACATTTAAATTAAATACTAAGAGCCATTATTGAGAAGCAACAGATCATTTACTGCAGTGTCAACTTTATTGAAAAACAATTATGTTCACATGTCTTAGGATGTAGCTTCCATTACAGAAAAAAATTGCAATAAGTTAAAAAATGTTTACTGAACAAAGTCAGACAAAACGACCAGATACATACAAAAGGTCAAGAAGCCAATAATACAAAACAGTTAGTGGAGATTTTCACAAGTATCTTGTTTTACAAAAAAATCTCAATTGACAAAATGACTTTAAAAAAAATCACCATATTTCAAAGCTCGGCACAAGATTTTTAAAACGCAATGTCCCCATTTTATGCAGCTATGCTTCCCCTCTCAGTTTGGTTATGATTTACCATGATCTTAACACCTACATATTTGCAATTAAGACAAGCATTTTTTGGCTGAACAGTTTTTAGAATCCATAAACAAGAATACTACAGAGACTAATAGTGGTGGATCCTAACCAGGAGACCGTAACATGACAAAAGTATAGGAACGGAATTGAACTGACTGCAAAAACTATTTTTTAGAAACTGAACAGGTTAAAATGACATATTGCAATCACATACAAGAAAGTGTCATCTTCTGGTACACAAAGGCTGGTCAAATATGTCTTCCTTCCCAGAGTTCTACAATGCAGTTTACAGTCAGCGTTTTGAATAGAAAAATGTGGACAATAGTGTAACCCAGCATGTAGTTTGCATCTCCTTTAAAGATAAAATAGATGCAATCTTCTCCCTAAATTTACACATATTTGACATAGTGCTTCAGTTTCTTGAATGAAACTTACCCCAAGATGCTGCACAAAGTCCTAACAGCTTTGCTGCATACTCCAGGAACATACATCTATGAAATTTGAAAGAATTTTTACAAGGTATTTTCTGTAGTTAAGACCTGGTGCAGAATACAGAACATACTTCCTTGGGTTTCAAAACTGCCTATCAACTAGTCTTGATGATTAAGTAGCTATAAAATTACTAAACAAGACTGGATATTTTCTACATGTAAATTTGGCTGTAGTTCTTACTAAAAAAGCTGTTCTTACTAAAAAAGCCTTAGGCAGTCTCATATTCAAAGTGCACTTCATTATGTGTCATTAAAGTGAGGTCTTATGCTGAAGAATGATTAAAAATTGCATATAGGCTTCCAGGTTTAATGTGTCCCAGCCCCTCCAGAATTAATGTGCTCTTTACAGATGAAAAGACGTATCTGATTTCTGTTCCTACCGAATCTGAGAAGTCAGGCATTTTGGGTTTAAGTTATTTTCCAGGCTAGAATTGCATTTAAGGCTTTTTGTTATTGATGTTAAAGTAGCATTGTATTAACATGTACTGCAGCTTCAGCAAATGAAAGACAAGCAGGTCTGAGACTTTCAAGTGTGCCCAAGAGAGCTAGTTTGGAACCTATGTCCCTTAAGCTTCTTTGAAAGTCTCAGCCTTTGTAGTTGTAAAGTTAGGAAGGAGCTACGCCAGGGGAAGAAGCTTTGAAATCCAAACACATGATTTTTTTTTTTAAACGAATGAAGCTATTTTCTATGCATTCTTGGCATACACACAGCAGAAAGATGCGGAATATGAGGAACTGCATGGACCTGGTGGTTGAAAGACACCTAACTACTCATGAATAGCTAACCACCAATTAGAACACACAAGAAAGCTGCTTTACTAACCAAAGTAGCTTCCTTTTCAGTACTAATGAGTTCACAGGGAATGTATTCTACTGTCCAATTTTGTTATTTTCACTTTTACTACAGTATTGTTTGCTACCACAATGGATGAAGTGTACTTGCAGGGCAGGTAGAATGCAATGGCTAATGTAGTATGCAGACATACCAATAGGACAGGTTAATTACAAACATGGGACTGTAATGTGTGTCACTAACAAGGCAAGTATTCAGTGGCAATCAAACAGTAGAAATCTGAACAGAGATGTTAATAAGTAAGTGGAAGTCACAAATCTTTGTTTCAATAGAATAAAGCAATTTTATTAGGCAAAGCCATTTGAGGTGAACCCACAAACCTGACCGCTTCTCATATTAGAGACACACTCCATCGGGACTTTACTAACAAGTTAGCGCCCCAACCACAAAAGCAGGATTCATTCATGGAAAACTTTTGCAGTACCAGAGGATAGCATGAACACTATTATCCCTCAAGTGGTTGTTATACTTCCACTCCCTCTGCCCTCTCCCTTTCCTTCAAAGTTCTGAGTCCCCCCCCCTGTGACTTCTCTCCATTAAGGACATTCAACATCTCTACACAAGATACTGTTTATTAACATTTACTTCTTGTAGCTTATTGACTGAAGAGCAGCAGGGATGGAACTCTGCATCTAAAACAGTTAGCTTGTGGATCTGAAATTTAAGACACGCAGACAATCGGTTTGCTGGTAACAAGTTACTGTATAGCTCCAAACCCTAAATTCCCTACTTATAATAAAAATCAACCATTCCACCAAAAAGTGAGCAGAAAGGTTCTAAGTCACTAATATGCAGATACAAAAGTTCTAGCCAGTGTATAAAACTGAGGTTTGGTCCCGGTTGAGTTAGAAACTGTGTGCTCTGCTGCAACATGCCAGGGCAAGCGCTAGCCCTTTACGAAGGCAGAAAAGGTCAAGGAATGAGTGACCTGAAGAACAGGAACAAGCAATCCTACACCACAGGATTTTGTGGTTTTGGTTCCTATAGTGATAGACTTGATTAACAGCACTTTTGGGGGGTGGGAGTTGAAGAAGCTCCATGCTACTTATATAGAGCTTTCTACGAGTTCCCTCAGAGAAACGAGTGCTAAAAATACATTTGGACTTCAGCAAGGCATTAAGGGATAGATTTTCTAATTGCCTCTTACAGAAGCATTTTGTAAACATTGCAAAGACTCTTAAAAAAAAACCTGGATAGGATCCTTTGGCAGGATACAAACTGGGAGGTAGCTCACATCCCAGTTACACTGAGGCAAACAAATTAAGTGACTTGTCTTAGTTGGGAGGAAGAGATGGGAGCATAACATCTTAATTCCCAGCTTTCTGTTTTTACCACAATATGATGCAGCCAAGGAAGCATAATAAACCAGGGAACCATATTTTTAAAAGGCAGCTCCCTGAAAATCAGAACTCAGAAGCAGCTGAAATAAAGAAGCCAAACTGCCTAAACCAAATGTGTCTGTGGGAGATGCATAAGGCTTTTGTATGTGTCTAAGCAGAGTTTTGCTTTCAGACTAACGAAGCCCATGAGAATCATCTCCCCCAAAACAACTCAGCTGCTTAACTATGCTTGGTATCCACTTGTCTGCAAATCATGTGGAAAGTTGGATTTCATCATCGGGGGGGGGAATGATATTTCTAACAGTGACAGTACAACTAGCCAAGCACCAGCTTCAAGAACAGCAATAGGCAACAATATGAATGGGGCACCTGGTCTCTTCTTTTCCCCAAGCTCTCCACTTGCAGATGATTTGAGAGGGACACCCTAACTGAATTGAGCTTAGATTATTACACTTGCCCTCCTCCCCCAGGAGACATATTTCATGAGAGTATGTGGCTGCCACTCTCAGTGCCAAAGGAAGTCTGAATCAATCCAAAGAGGGTGCCTGCTCAGCAAGTAGTGACCATGGGCAGTCAAGAGGTGGCTGTTCCACTTGGAGCCAGAGTCTCTATGTAAGGCTATTGTGGTCGGAAAAGTCAGTACTTGCACCCCTCCTGTCACAGCCACTTTAGCACTATGCTACTAAGGTCCTGAAGCCAGAATCACTTCTCTGGTGGAGTGTCTTGTGGATGGGACCCCAGGACAGCCTGATCCGCATATAGAAGACAGCAGTAAGATAGTTCTCTCAGAGAACACTCCAGTCCCCACCTAACAGGATTGCAAAACAGATCAGAGCATCTGCCCAGGCTGCAGAGTCTCTATTCCTGGGGAAGAGATGGATACTATCGGCTAAAACCTAGGTGGCCAAGGGAAGTTACTGCTGTATCATGACCCCTGGTTTTAAAAGCCATGGAGGGTACAAACAGGAAAGTTTATCTTGGGTCCTTTACTGTTCTTTCCTTTCAAGGATGAAGCATGGGAAAATAATGGAGTCAGCATATTAAGTTCCCTTTTCTTCTCAAAGACAAAACTATGGAGGAACGTGTTTTTGATACCTCATCCATACTTTCAAGCATAGCTGAGGCACATTTTTAAAGGTCTGTTCTTAATTATTTTTTTTAAAAAAGTAACTTTAGCCACAAGAAGCCCATGGATATCCATTTAAACTGGATGATGGACTTTGAAGAGGATTCTAAGACAATGGAAAGCCCTAAAGCTATCTAGAATGACTGAAGGACACTTTGGGTTTGAGGGTTTTTTTACATAACTCCTCAGATTCTAGTAAAATTTCCTGGATGCCATGAAACCGGTTTCCTTCACTAGGCTGATGCACTGTTTAGTTGCTGATCTGACCAAGGTTAATTTGGTTATGAGCCCTGGGTAACATCCTATCTATGTTACAAATTAGAATGTTTGCCCTTGGGTTATAAGTTGCGAACAGACTCCTGATGTAGTTGTATCGGTGGGGCAGATAAGGCCTTAAGGGACAAAAAGATAAACCCTGCAAAAGGCACCAATATTTTGCAGTCATCTACAAAACCTCACTGATCATCATCTTCCCAGAACTTGGTCCCAGCCCACAACATGAAAGATAAGCTTTGGTACCAGTAAAGTAAGGATGTATCCAACAGAGATACGAGGCAGTGTCCAAGGACTGAATGATACCAAGTTTTCCAATGAACCACTGTATAGCTTGGAAACAGTGACTCACAAAAGAATTTGGCTAAGGGCACAGAGAAAGAGGATGCTAAGGTGGTTTTGGAACTACCTGATGTGTCAAAAATCCCAACCATTAGGTATAATTTGTTCGAAGTTGGCAGTTTAATACTGCATAAACTGCATTCATTTCCTTACTGATAGCAAGCAGAGGTTACTATCACTCTCCTCAGAATATAGAGGCTTGAAGATCATACAGCTATGCATTTCTTCTGGTCCACAAAGTGATATTAGAATTGCAGGGGGATTTAAATGATCTCTTATCCCTGTGCAGAGAAATGTTATGAACCAGTGAGAGCTGTAAGCTAGAAGAAGTGTCTCTTCCTTTTCTAACACTAATTCTGCCAGTGTGTGTGTGTGTGTGTGTGTGTGTGTGTGTGTGTGTGTGTGTGAGAGAGTGAGTGTGAGAGAGTGAGCGCGCACGCGTGTGGGGGGGGATATTTTAAAGGATGTATAGAAATGCTTTCCTATTTTAAAGTAAAGTACACACAAAAACCATTTAGAAAGCACCTCTGAGTTTTCTGATCACAGATTGAGACTGTTCTTCCTTTGTTCTTCTACCAAGTCCTGGCTTGTGTGTTTCTCCCATCTTACAGCTGGGAACAGGATGGGCACCTAACCTGATGTGAGAAATGCAGTTCCATGCCCTGCTGTATGATACTACAAGCTGTGGCAGGCAGGCTGCAGAAATCAGGTCCCTAATGAGTAAAAGGGCCTCTCATTTGACCTTGGCTGCACTGAACTCTTAGCACTTTCAAGTGATGATCAATTGCTTTTGTGTGAGTGTGAGAGACACAGATTTTACAGACACGGTGTCAGTAGTTTAAACCCAAACATTAGTAGTTCGGTAAAGAAATGAAACTCAAGAATATTCAGTAAAACAGTTTTCCCCCATTTAGACTTAACCCTTCTCTGGTAGTGTTACAAATACAATCATTGCAGTGCTGAGCTCCTGAAAGAGAGCCAGAAAGCAATAACAGACCAGGAGTTTCACTATCCAGTACAAAAATTAAACAAAAATCTCAACAGATTTTAAAGTTATTTCAGAGTTAGGAGGTCACAAATTGCAGGTCTGATCTCTTAGTATACAACAAATCCTCTGCTGGTATAAATTGATTAGAATTCCTTTGAAGACAACAAAGTTGTGTTGCTTTACACCAGCGGGGTACTCATTTTTAATCTAACAATGTCTCGTTAAAGGTTATCTGTTTCAGTTTGTGAGATTTGCCTAATTTATCTAAAACAACAAAACTGAATTCTAGAGGTCAGCTCAGCTGAGCTGGACTAAATGTTACAGAAAGCATCACTTCATCATTCTGACTGATGTAATTGTTTACAGGTGCCTGCATGTGCTGATTTTAATATAAGCAGCCTCCCACTACAAGCTGCAAGGCATGTGTTAAGACAAGTAGGAAGATACACACAAAATGGTTCGCATATTTCTAATGTACTTCCTGGAACGTTGCAAGACAGCCCATATACCTGTTACGACACACAAACAGTAAAACATTTCTTCACAGCATCCCTGTGGGGGAAGAGAGAGAAATACCAACATGACTGGACTGCTTCCACAAATGTTTCATTGCAGTAACTAAGACAGCCTGCCTGAAGATTTAAACATTTTACTCCTGCACAATGTAACATTCTGTGAATAAGGCTGTAGGAGTCCTCCCTGCAACATTCACATGTATGCAACCTGTATAATAGGTACACAGTGGAGACAGCTGGAAGTTTCATTTAAGTGAGAGATACACCTAAGTACCTGTCTGAAGTATTTGAGGGGAGGAGAGGGAGGAAGAGGGGATTTTGAATTGGACACAGATGTATGTAAGCATACAAAGTATTAAAAGGAAACCTGAAATGCATTAAGAAAATCTAAATTAAGGTTCCCACAGGATAACTAGTTCAGTCCCATTGTTCATTTTAGTATTTTCGACTATTGCTTATGTTTTCAAAAGGTAATTCTTAGGATTCCATTCCAGATTATATCTATTTGGAAACACTCAGGAAAGTTAAGGCACATCAACCACAGTAGTGAATTAAATGCCCAGGAATTAAGACACCTGTGTGGATGCTTTCATTCAGGGGTGAAGTGGACTTTGTGCACTGAGATTAAGGCCAGGTCTACAGTACAGATCTACATTAGTATGACTATGTCGCTCAGGGGTATGAAAAATCCACCAACCTAACCCCTTCTGCCTCCCGTGTAAAAAGCGCTATTTTGGTGGGAGTGTTTCTCCCACTGATGTAGCTACCACTTCTTAGGGAGATAGATTAACTACACTGATAGAGCTCTCTCCCGTCAGCTTTGAGTGTCTTCATTGAAGTGCTGAACTTGCATGGATGCAGCATTTTAAGTCTAGACGTATTCTAAGTACAAGATGGAACAGACTGGTAACCACTGTTGTACTGTCAGTGGTCCGTACTGTCAATGGTTCAGTGTCTGGTCAGTGTTCTCGGGGTTGTCCCAGTGTGCTCCTGACAGGACCTCTACTCCTTCAGTGATGATAAACTCTCAGCTGCATGTGTAACTATCAGTGCTCCCTTTATCTAGAATGTTAGACCCTGTGCACTTGGGTCAACACAGGAGATCTCAGAGCACCCGGAAATGACAGATGCAGGCAAGGTTTGAAATCAATCGAGCAGGTTTATTGTCAAATGCAAAGCTCTAACAGTTGGTATCAGAGATCCTACAATGCTACACCACTGTACATTACGGCCCATGTTGACAAAGTACCAACACTTAGCAGGTCTATTGCAATATAACACATTAACAGCGATTAGTCAGAGTTAAGCCACTGTGCGTTCTGTAAGTCTAGGCACCGACACTTGCCATTCAGGTGCCTAGTGCACCGCTAGCACCCCGCCCCCTCCCCCCCCCCCCAGTCAGCCACTGTGCATCATTTGCAGTGTCCTTTTATAGATATGTACAAACAACTTACATCACTTCTTTACATACCAGGTTACTACCCTGTTGCCTAGTTACCACCCCATACCTTACGGAAGGGGGGCTTACTTACTATCCTTCATGCTGTCAATCTCAATCCCGTCCTGAACCTAGGTCAGTATGTGCATTAGTTTTTGGGGAGTCTTTGCACCAAGACATTTCTTATTAAGAGGTTCCTCTACTCCTTTGGCTTACAGTCCTCCCTGTGTCCTTCCATGTTCCACCTACCTTACACAATTACACCATTATCCATAGGGCCTCTTTCTTGGCTCCTGTGTTACTGAATCAAAGTCTTGCTCACTAGATTGCAGGCCTGTTGCTGTTTTTATGTTACAGGCCTCGATTTAGGCCTGCTGACTCCATGTTACTAACCCTCAACTTACTACAACCATAAGGAGCTAAGACATGTTGCAAGAGATCATTCAGGATGAAGTGAGCAATTCTCAACTCTGCTCTCAGAGGACATCTCCCTTAAGAGATGTGCCAACATTTCATCTGGCAGGGTGGACGATTTCTACAGGTGTGAAAACCATTCAGTTTGTCACTGGGGATCTGGGTGGGTTTGGCACCTGACAGGACAAGCTTGACAGGTGGCTTTTAAGAAGATGGAGAGTTTAACACATGAGATTTGACAGCATATTCAAACAGTCCTGTGCACCTATAGGTTGCATTCTGAGGCACGCAGCGTACCTTTCGGTGCATGCAACATTTGTAAAACAAATATTAGTTGAGTTTCAGCAGAAAAAGCCAGCAAACACTGGGACCTCCAATTCTTCCCTCCCCTCCCTGAAGACTTTTCAGAAGGAGGCACTCTTAGTCCCCCGTGGCCATGTTTCACCCCAGGGATGGCTATATTTCAGTTACAGGTGAAAAAAATTAGGTATTTAATTTATAATCCACTCTATGGTCATTCAGAAAAAACTATCATAACCCTTTTAAAGTTATATACTTTATGGGGGAGTTAACTGTACGATAACCTTTACTAGATATTCACTAATACAATAAGGAAAGAAATCAAGCTTACCTTGCAAATGGGATGAAAGAAATGCTGTACCTAAGAGAGGAAGAGAATATTAAAAAAATTGAGCTACCATTCATTTTAGATTACATAAGTGTCACACACAAAAGCAACAACTCCTTCCCACACCACATGGGAACAAAGATAGATGCATCTCAGTGCACATGAAAGCAGCAACTCCAGTGCAGGCAGTGGACAGGCATGCAAGCTGCTCCTCAACCGTGCTCCTAAAGACATCTTTGTTAAATCCATGAAGCAGCACAGCAAGGCTACAGCTCTATATAAAAATGTTAATCATCAAAAATTTTCCCCTCTGAAACCCTATATGCATCAAGCCCCAGGACAAGTAGGATTAGTCATCTCGCTAGTGAGAACACCACCCAGTGAACCTTTTATTCCTACAGCATCTATATCAATGAACCTGGGAAGTTGTATGGAAGTCAGAATAATTAAAAAGAAACAGCTATAAGCTCTTTTGACCTTAAGCAGGGAAAGTAAAGAAAACGGCCAAGAACAATAACATCCAGAAAGGAAGTGCTAGTGTAAAATGGAGGGCTAAATGGGCAAATGCAAACTGACCCAACCAAGGGAACCCTGCTCCTGGTTCTAAAATGTTTAAGACTCTGAGAGGGACTCGGTGGAAGTGTGCTGTTCTCAGCCCATTCCAAAACGGAACTCTAGAGCAGAGAGCAGACAGGCCATCTGATCTCCAACGCCTAGTGGGACAACCAATAGGGATGTTAAAGAGGTTTATTATTATTATTATTAATTTGGTAAACATATAACCACTGAAACTTTCAGTGTTTACTGAAATAATAAGAGTTACTCTTTAGTGGTCACTCTTAGCAGGGAAGGCAGCTCTGCGGGAGCCGGTGCTCCTGGCAAACCAGATTAAAAGACGGCTCTCAGCAAGTACTGGCTCCTGCCTGCTCTGCTGCCTCTGATACAGACACAGCAGGGGAGATGAGCTGATGTGTAACCATAAGGGTTAATCAAGGAGCCCAGACCAGGGGTAGGCAATAATTTTTGTCCGGGGACCACAGGCTGTCCCAGTAGGGGCAGGGCCTAAAATGGAAGGGGCGGGGCCAGGATGCTCCCAGGCTTCCCCACCCACAGACCATGATTGGTCTGGGGGATGGAGGAGCCCCTTTGCCCCCCCTTCTGTCAGGAGGCAACTGTTAGTTACCCCTGCTGTTTTTTGTAAGTGGCTCGGCTGGAGCCGGGCTGGTTCTAACCAGTGATGAGCTGGCTCAAGGCCTCCTTAGCTGCATAAACAAGTTGTGAGATAATTAAGCCAAAGGACATGTTTGGGAATGGGATAGCCACGGTGCTTCTTGCTAGAATCTGCCTGTGAATGGTTTGTGCTTCTCAGAATGTTATAAAACAGCCAAAAGGCACTGCTTGAATGGTCAGTCCCACCTGTGGATCTAGGCTGCGTGGATGCCCAGGAATTCCCCACACCGGAGCAGCACCTGCTACCAGCCCTCAAGAGCACAGACAGGGGGACCTGGGACTGGCGGTAGCTGAAGGGGCCTAAGCATTGAATCCTTGCTCACCTGAATGCTCATTTGCTTGCTTAATTGCCTGCTTCTCTGCACTGAGAAGCACGTATTTAGTAACGCATGAAGGCTGTAAGGGAGAATATGCTTTGGCAATAAAACCTCTTATGTTTATGCACCCGGTGTGGCTTCACTGAGTATATCCAAGCCTCCTGATAGAGCAACACCTTCCCACTAGACACCCATGCTCCTGGCAGGGCGGGAAGAGGCTCTGCATGCTCCCCCACCCCCAGACCAATTAGGGGGGTCTGGGGACATGCATGAAGTTTCCTCCACCCTGCCAGGAGCATGTAGCACTTTGAAGTGCTGTGTGCTCCTCGATGGGCAGGGGCAGGACAGAGGAAGCTTCATGTGCTTCTCTGCCCCCAAGCTCCAATTGGCCTGGGGGCGGGGGGAACATGCAAAGCCTCCTCCCGCCCTGCCAGGAGCATGCAGCACTTTCAAGTGCTGCATGCTCCAGGCAGGGTGGGGGTAGGGCGGAGGAAACTTCATGCACTCCTCCCAGCCCCAGGCCAATCAGAGCCTAGGGGCGGGGAGCGCATGAAGCTTCCTCCGTCCTGCCCCCACCCTGCCTGCCTTGGCCTGGGGGCATGGCAGGGCCTCCACAGGCCGGATCAACCCACTTGGCGGGCTGAATCCAGCCCGCGGAGGCCATTTTGCCCACCCCAGCCCAGACTCATCAGTTAACCATTGAAATGAATACACCAGTACATCCCCAACAACCACTCGTGAAGATTAGATTATTAGGATTCATAGGTGGTTCATGTTTGTTTGGCTACAGGAAAGGGAGAACTACCCTATCATAATTCATACTTTATAGTCCCCTGACAATCTATTAACTGAAGCTTGTTTTAATCCAGGTTACTTGGGGTGGGGATGGGGAGGAGCAGAGGCAGCCAGGGTTCACAGGTTCAACTGCACCCACAAAAGCCAATGGCGCTAAACCTGAGCAATGCTGCATCCCCTTGTGCCAAGCTAAAAATGCCTGCAGCCAGAGCCAAACCCAAGTACACATTGTCATACTCCCCCACTCCTTCCCAGGACTTCCCCTTTGCACCAGGCCTGCAATACAGCTGTAGTGCCAGAACAAAGAGTGCTGCTGCAGATGCAATTCAAAATCCAAGTCCGAAAGGAGTTAAGTACAGCATGCTTGAATTGAATTCCGAGGCTAAAGCCACCTCTATTGGGGGGTGGGAGGGAAGTTACCTACCATGCCAAGGCAAAAAACTGCAAAATGCAGAAGATGAGAGCAAGTCCCTTGTTGTGCCACTGGAAGAAACACAGAACAATAATGCAATCAAATATTAAGCATATATATTTGCTAGCCTATGTAGGCTATCTGCAAGACCCACATACTCACCCAGAAGGCAGAGCACAATGTTAGTACAAGACACAGCTGGAAGAAAACAGGAAATTTCAGTTAAAATAGGAACTATTCGATTATACATCAAGCTGTAAGCCATCCAAGAATGACTAAGATCTCCAAGTACCTTCTTATGAAACTCCATCTACAGGTATTTTACCAATGAGTGAAACTAGCAGCTAGAATAGGTAAGAACAAGAGATTAAGAGGGCTGACACTATCATGTAACATTTATGTCTGCCTACACTTGTTTCATCCCAAACCCCTCTTTTAATAACCCTCAATCTTGTATTTGCATTGTGTTTCACGTTGCCCATGTGTGCGTTTGTGGGGGTCAGATTTCTCCAAAACCACTTCTGCATCACCTACCAAACCCCTTGATGACAATTCTACTTCATGCTCCAGAAACACTGTCCTTGTACTATATTAGCCTTATTTAGGCCATGCTCTTCAGAACATGAGATCTTTCAGTGTTTTAACAATGTACACCTCCAGTGCTAAGAACAGCCATAAAACCAGAAAGTTTAAGAATAGTGTAGTGAAACGTAACTGAATCAAAGCACTACTGTTTACTTTGTACTGATTTAGTACCCATTTAGTGCAAGTTAAAACAAAATTCTTTGATACTTACTAGCATAACAATAGTAGCTATCAAACGAGTGGGTTCAAACATTCTTTTCAATTGTCTCATAGGCCCCATAAGGAAAACAGTACTGTAACAAGCAAAACAGACACGTAAAACATCTACACACAGCAACAAAATTAGATTGTCAGGTTCCCTAACTAAACATGCTGGCACTGAAGGTCACTACTATATTAGGCACTGGTATCTATGTTATCATAGCAATTTTGCTATACGGATAGCACGAGGTAGCCAGGCAGTATTATAAAACAAAAATCAGGATACAACTGAGAATGGAGAAAATACATCCTGAGAAGTGGGCACCAAACAAAGATAGTCTTGGGAAGAAGCAATTGCTGACATTTGTAATTTGGATTTGAACAGAGATGGAGTCGAAGCATTGCAATAGGGATGCAAAGGGGTCCCATTCCAGTCCTTCATTCTGATCTGCTGAATGAGATCCCTGACATATCTAGACTGCATTTACACAAACGAGTCAATAAGTTTACTACTTACAAACGCATGACAATCTAAATGTGCCATCAGACTCAGCTGTCTTTAAAGACAGCGTGGTTCAGATTAAATTATTGATCAAATTTTCATTTAAATTTGTATTAAAATCTTAGCTTGTTTTGTCAAGCTAGTTTATTAATTTTCTCTCTGATTCTAAGAGGACTCCTCTTCCCACCTGTTGACTGAAGCAATGGCCACCTGTCATCAGCAAGAGCAGCCCAAGATGCAATATAATAGAAGAGATGAGGTGGCAGGAGAGAAGAAAAATGCCAAGCCAGCCACAGATGAGGAGAGAGGATTGGCCAAGTAGAGTATTCCTTTAAAGATCAGTCAGATGGCACATACCTAAGAAAGCCACAGTCATTGGCATGACTAATTCTACTGTATGCCAGAGATGATGGAGGAGTCTCATCTCCCCCCCCCACGACACATGATAATGAGTTACAGTCAAGTTACACATTGCATGAAAACATATTCCCTTTTATTGGCTTTGAATTTCCCAACGTTGAATTTTAATTGAGTGTCCTGTAATTCTTATGTTATGAGACAAGGAGAATAAGCTTTCCATTGCTAACTTGTCTAGAACATTTGTTACTTAATATTTGTATCACATTCCCTCTAGTAATCTAATTGAGTCAACAGTGTGACTGTTGCAAAACACACACAAACCACCACACACACAGCAAACATGATTCTGGGATGCATTAACAGGAGTGCTTGTGAGCAAGACATGAGAAGTCATTCTTTTGCTTTACCCTGCAATGATTAGGCCTCAGCTGGAGTATTGTGTCCAGTTCTGGGCACCGCATTTCAAGCAAGATGTGGAGAAATTGGAGAAGGTCCAGAGAAGAAAAAAATAATTAAAGGTCTAGAAAACATGACCTATAAGGGAAGACTGAAAGAATTGGGCTTTAGTTTAGAAAAGAGAAGACTCAGAGGGGACAATAGCGTTTTTCAAGTATCTAAAAGGGTGTTACAAGGAGGGAGGAGAAAAATTGTTCTCCTTGGCCTCTAATAGGACAAAGAGCAATGGGCTTAAACCGCAGCAAGGAAGGCTTAGATTGGACTAAGGATGTGAAAGGTTAACCAGTAAGCTTAACCCTTAATGGTGAGGCTTACCTATTCCGGTTAACCAGTGAGAGGGGAGCAGCTTCCCACTAGTGTCGGCTATCTGGAGCAGCCCCTGCCCATGGCAAGCCCAGTCATGTTACAAACAGGGGCTGCTTCGGTCATGTGTCGCCCCTGCTTGGCCACCCTCCTTTAATTGGTTCGCCAGTTAAACAATTAATTTAGCCAATTACACAGGATTTTACATCCCTAGATTGGACAACTTCCTAACTGCCCAGTTGGTTAAACACTGGAATAAATGGCCTAAGGAGTTTGTGAATCTCCATCTCTGGAGATATTTAAGAGCAGATTGGGTAGAGATCTATCAGGGATGACCTAGACAGTGCTTGGTCTTGCCACAAGGGCAGGAGAACGGACTTGATGATCACTTGAGGTCCCTTCCAGTTCTATGATCTTCTTTGGAAGGTAAACAATTCCAATCTTTTCAATCCTTTCCACATGAAAGTTTTTCCTGCTTTTGATCACTCACATCTCTTTCATGTAAGAAAAGCTATCTTTATATAATAAGGATTGAAAAGTAAAGGATAAAAAAAAATTAACCACCCACACATCCTTGACCACATCAGCTTGTGTCCCAGCTTAACAAATGAAGCTTTATAGCTCGAGTTCTGTAGTATGCGGTTTGTGATCGGGTGACCATTGTAGCACACAGTATTCCAGATGAGGCTGAACCTTTGAGTTAAGTAATGGCATTATGGTAGTTTCTATATTACTTGCCACCCTATTCCTTACATCTTTCAACATCTTGTTTGTTTGTTTTTTTAATGTCAGCTGCACATTGAGAAGAGATCTTCATTGAGCTATTTACAATGATGCACAGGTCTCTTGGGAGGGCACTGAGACAACCTACACAGCAAAAGTCTTTTCAACATGTGTCATATCAGACCATTGGTCTATCTAGTCAGATGATTGACTGTCTCCAGCATGGACTAATAGATGAGGGTTCAGAGGAAAGTGTAGAAAACAACAATGCACTAAACCATATGTAAGTTATGTAGATGTCTTTTTGACCCCAACAGGAAGAATGAGATTTTACTCCTCTTTTTTCAGTCAGTATATCCCGACAATATAGGATTCAAACAGGAAAGACAATGCTAGCTGAAACGGTTTCTTTTTCCAAAAACTGGAGTATTTAAAAATCAGTCATATTTGTCCCTCTTATTATTTCTGACTCATAGCAATTTGTAGAGAGATAGACGTGAACATTCATCCCAACAGCCCATCATTTCCATCACTGACAAGTACATGTACATTCACACCCCATCCTTCTGTTCTCATTTTCTGCCTTTATACCAGATAACTAATTTATAGAAATCTGTTACCTTCCAAGGGATGCAATATTCCCCAGAGTATAAAATACTGCAAAGAGAATTAGTCCTTTCCTTGGCACCCATAGCAAGCAAGTACCCTGAAAAAGAATAAAATGTTATGATGTGTTGCAACCAAAATAGCCCCAATTAGTCTCTTTAGCAGCACTGCAGAAGCACTAGCAAACTTAAACTTAAAAGTAATTACAAGAGTTGGTTTGTGTTTGTTTGCATTCTTTACAGAGCAGAGCATTTCACTTGCTGATAGAACCCAGTCTCCTTTTTTTATACAAGGGTTCCAGAGGGTTCCTTCCCCCCTTGCAAAAACATAAAAAATGTGTTTAAAAATTTAACCTTATAACCACTAAAAATCCTAGCAGTGACACACACCATGGGTTGCATAGAACTCTTAAATAAGCTTTACACTGCACAGCCTGCAGTGAAGCCACCTCCCTGGAAACAGGGCAGGCAGCATGTGCCAGCCCTGAGAGGACGCTCTGGTGCAGTAGGAATGGGACTGCCTGCTCTGATGATGGCCACACAAGGCTGGGTCAGGCAGGGAGCTGCTTCAGCCCCTACCGGTTAAACAGAGCTGGTAATCCTCACCCATTAAAAGGGTGAGGCTTACGGGTTAAGCTTTTAGATCCCTCGCAGGAACATAGGCTATATGAATACAATACAAAACAATGTAGTTCCATCTTGAAGATCAGTTTTGCCATGTCAGGCACTGTTTATAACAAAAGTGCTCCTATTGACTCTGTTATAACAGTTTGATCTGACCTTTGTAGACTGACAATCATACTACCACACAATCCCTCAATTTGCCTAGGTAGATGAATCCTTAGTATGGCCTGGCTCAGTCCTCCTGCCTGGCCTGAATACCATTCCCTACCTGCAATCCAGCACTAGTTTACCACTCCCATACCACATAGCCTCTCACATCATTCCTCTTGGTACTTAAGAATCACATTCCACAGAAGTTGCATGTTGAAACACACATCGTCCATTTCTACACAAATTAGAGAGCAAGGAGATGATCCGGCCATTTCATTTCTAGTTTGTTTAGATTTTATTTTATAGCTGCATTTCAACATGTTCCCTTGCCAACACAGATGCCTGCCCAAAGTCTCAAGCAGCTTGCAGAACTAGGGCCAGTTTGTACATCTTTTTGTTATCCACTTTGGGATAAGATGTGCTATAAAAGTTACTGAGCACACCAAACAGAGCCTCCTTCTAGAGCAGAAGCTGACACACAGACAAGGACTTACCAGGATAGAGCACAGAACTCCTATAGTAAAACAAGCAATGAAGCCTTTCACTCTCGTGCCCCAGCTTAATGAAGATGCATCAACAATCTGGAAGCCAAACACAAATAACGGAGACATATATCCTTTAATACATTACCTTGTGCCCCAACTTCACCAAACAAACCTTATAGCTCTATTTCCATTAGAGATGTGAGTGGATAACTTTTAACCACCCCCCACCCTGACACCTCCCATTTAATCAGTTAACCGGTTCAATTTAATGTCGAACCACTTAATTGGAATTTTACATCCCTAATTTTCATCAACAATTTAAGAACTACCTGAAAGATATTCCATTAGAACATCAAATAAATAAAAAATGAATCAATGTTCAGTAGCAATACTGCTATCAGAGAGCTCAGTTTTGAAACCATATTGCAAACAGAATTCCCAAAGTAAATGAGGTCTTCAATAAATGATGAGTTTGCCATAATGCTATATAGTCTGTCAGTCACCTATATTTATACCTAACCTTTCCTGTTCTTCTATTAGCAGAGACATACCTACCTCAGCAAATATATATTCTTCATCTCCCAATTAAAGCCTGGTCCCACACCTAAAACTAAGGTCACCTTAATTACCTCCCTAAGGTGTGCAAAAAAATCCACATCTGAAAAAAGTAGATAAACCAGCCTTAGCCCTGGTACACACATTGGTCCACAGAAGATTCTTCCATAAGATTAGCTATGCTATTGCCTCTAGTTGTGGTGGATTTACCACAGAGTAGGAAAAAAAAACCATTCTGTCACTGTAAGAAGTATCTACACTACCTCACAGCTGCAGTGAAGTTGCAACACCATAGCTATCACCACATTCTTAATTACCTATTAATTTCCCCCTCTCCCACCCTTTATTTTGATATTCACTGGAAGTGAACTCAGGGAGATTCCATTAAAGTTCTGATAGAAAAAGCAGCTTATAAGCAGCACCACAATTTGCTTTCTGTTGTTTTCTATGTTCCAATTACCAAAATGGAACAGAACGCTTCTGTTTCACCTATCTAGTCAGAGTGAAAATCCATGCAACATATTTTCCACCCATAAACACCCAGCTGGGTCCACTGAACAGCAAGAATTTATGAATACCCCTTTACATTCAGATGGAAATCATTTAAATCCAATTAGTTTCCAGGAAGTTTAGCCACCTTTCCACCTACAAACCAGTCTTTAAATAATTAAGACCCTTTATGTTTAAAGTTGTGTGGCATCAACCTTGGCTCAAGACTAAAGCTATGCAGGAAGTAGCTTTAAAAAAAAAAAGCCCACAAAAATGTGTACACGATGTTTTTGTAAAAGAAACTAATTTTTAAAAGAAACAAACCACCACTCCTCCCAGTGTTTGAAACCCAAACAAGGCAGCGCTCCGAAGCTGAAAACAAACCCATAGGATGAAACTGATTGACATTGCCTAAGAGGAAAGCAATGCGGTGAGTCAGAGAGCGAGAGGCGGGTGGCTACATTTCTTTCCCTTCCGACACTCTGCTGGGAGTACGGATACAGTTTATTTACACTGACAACAGGAACTACCTCGGCGGGGCCCAGGAGGCTGGAGCCCGAGCTCAAGGCGACAGCGCAGTTGCGGATTCGCACGTCCCCCCCCAAAGTGAGCCAGAGCTGCTGGAGGAGGCGGGGGCGCGGCTCGAACCACTAGGCAGCAGCTGAAGCGCGCGTGCGATGCCCCCCCCCCCCAAAGGCTTGGCGCTGCCCACGGCCCAGACCCCGCTCCCCAGGGGACTGGCCGGGCACCGCTCCCCGCTGCAAAGGATTCACTGCAACCCCCCCACTCCTGGGCTGGCCGCGCGGGAGGGGGGGAGCAGAGGGAGTCCCCCCCCCCAGTCCCTGAAACGAGCCTCCCTCCCCTGCTGGGGGGCCCCCAACCAGCCCCGCCCCGGGGCACGGAGGGAGGGGGCGTTACCTCGCTCAGGCCGCCCTGGTCCTCCGCGTCCTGCCCGTTCAGCACCCGCTTGAGCTTGTCCATCCTGCCCGGCTCGCGGCCCCCCCACCCTGCAGCTGCTGCTGGCGGCGCCGCTCGCTTCCGTACCCCGTCTACCTGGCTGCTCGCTCGCCAGCCCTTCCACTCCCCGCCCCCCGGACTACAA